GACAGTGCATTGGCTGTGCAATTCTTACTTCCTCAGAGATCTCTCATTTTTGGTGCTGATCACAAAACGTCCAGGATAGTGCTAATTACTATTACCATTCATGCAAAAGAAATTTCATTAGATGTAATTTTCCTTTTGTGTGCAATTTCCTCTAGGAGTTTCCTTCTACCCCTGCAAAAACAGGTCTGTGTTCCTTAAGATATGTGTTTGTGTGACTAGGAGTATTTGAAGGTGTAAAGGTTCTGTAGCAGCACAGAACGTGGAATACTTCAAAACAGCTGCTTTCAGAGTGTGGTTCCAGATGCATTAGTGTCTTCTGGGGACTTGTTAAAAATATAAATTCTCAGGCTCACCCAGACCTTCTAAATCAGAAGCTCCAGGGGCAGGGTTCAGTGATTTTGTGTTTTAACAAGCTCACTGGAGGAGTCAGAACTCCTGGTTCAGAGGGTGTGTACATACGTACTTTGGGTCATATCGTAGGCCTGCCTTACTGCACTTTCAGGAAGGGACTAAACACTTGAGGGATGGCTGCCCGGCAGGGTTATTCGTTGTCATTGCTTAGTCATTAATGACATGTGAAAGGTATATTTTTATACATTTTGTGTGTGGTGGTGTTATAGATGGACCTTTAACTTTTGGAGGCAGCTCGGTTTCTTTTGTTGGTTATGACCAACAGTAGGAAATAGAATGCTATAAATCCTTGTTTCCAGGGTTACCTCCTTGCTGCTGATAACAGGCAGGAAATTAAAACAATCTGTGACAGTGCTTTGTTCTTATTAGCTACAGATGGTAGCTTTCAGATATGTTGCAGCAAAACATAAATAAATATAGCAGGGAGACTTCACTACTGAAGAAAAATGACTCAGCTGGGTCAAATTTATAGTCTGGGTCCATTTTAATGAAATGGGATATAGGCAACGTATCAGTGTTCCATTAGCACACAAAGCATGACAACATATGAGGTCGCTGGTGTTCTTCTTTTTGGTTTAGAGTATGTAAAACAATTGCATGATTTCAAGGTCAGAATTATAGAACAAATTTTATTCAAAGGTATCTCACTTCCATGGTATCCTTTTCCCCTTGTTCTCTTGGTCCTGTATGGGTAATCATTTTGTTTGCTTTTTGGCTTATTTTTCTAGTGTTTCTCTTTGAAGATAAGTGTTTATGTGTTTATGTTCATAACTCCTCCTTTCGACTTTTACACAAAAAGTTGCATAATATACCACAATTTTTTTTTAAAGAAAGCTCTATTAATTTGCAACATGTATTCAATAAAATTTACCAACTTTATGTGTACAATTTGAATTTTGACAAACTCATACAGTTGCATAGCTACCAATACAACCTAGGTTTAGATGGTTTCCATCAATCAAACAAAGAATGTCTTCATATCCTTTTGCAGCCAATCCTGTCTCCCATCTCTATGGTCTCCGATACACCATCTGCCTCCTTTCTATCACTATATTTACTTTTTCTAGAATCTCACATAGTTTTTTTGTGTGTATGTATGCGACTTCTTTCACCTGGTATAATTCTTAGGATGTTCAACCACAGTGCACAAATCATTATTTTATCCCATTTTATTGCTGAATAGTGCTCCACTGTTTATACATTACAGTTGATAGACATTGTTTTGTTGTTTCTTTTAAACTTTTTATTCTGAAATACTTCTGGACTTATAGAACAACGACAAAAGTAGTACAGAGAGATTCCATATACCCCTCCCCCAGCTTCATCTAATGATAACATCTCACATGGCCATGGTACAATCACAACACTGTAAACTAAACCACAGGCTTTATTTCAATTTTAGTTTTTCTATTGCTTTTAGTTGTTATGTGTCTTTAGTCTCTTTTAATGTGGACAATTCCTTGATCTTTCCATATCTTTATTATTTTTCATTTACTTATTTGGCTGCACTGCATGGTTTGTACAGTCTGAGTTCCCCAATCAGGCCCACAGCAGTGGGAGTGCAGAGTCCTACTCAGAGGACTGCCAGGAATTCCCTCTTCGTCTTTCTTTAAAAGAGTACTTGTCTGGGTATTTTGTTGGCAACCTACTCCAGTATTCTTGCTTGGAATATTCCGTGGAAAGAGGAGCCTGGCAGGGTATAGACCTGCCAGGTCTATACCTGGGGTCACAAAGAGTCTGACATGACTGAGCACAGGATGCACATTAGGTATTTTGTAGAATGTCCTTCGATTTGTCTGGTGATTAGACTGCAGTTTCAGATTTTTGGGAAGAATACTACAGAGGTGATGTGCCCTGCTCATGGTCTTATGTTAGGTGCTACATAATATCAATATGTCTTATTACTTGTAGTTTATTGTGTTAGTTGCTCAACTATATCTGACTCTCAGACCCTAGCCCACCAGTCTTCTCTGTCCATGGGATTCTCCAGGCAAGAATACTGGAATGGATAGCCATTCCCTTCTCCAGGGGATCTTCCCAACCCAGGGACTGAATCCCGTTCTCCTGCATTGCAGGCAGATTCTTTACCGGCTGAGCCACTGGGGAAGCCCCCTATACTGGTAAAGTTAACCTCCGTTACTTGATTAAGGGAGTGTCTGCCATGTTTCTCCATAGTAAAGTTACTGCTTTTCCTTTTCTGTAGTCTGTTCCTTAGAAGCAAATTGTTGCTTTTTAAATTGTGATGTACATCAATGTGGGCTTTCCAGGTGGCGCTAGTGGCAAAGAGTGAAGTGAAGTCGCTCAGTTGTGTCCGACTCTTTGCGACCCCATGGACGGTAGCCTACCAGGCTCCTCCATCCATGGGATTTTCCACGTAAGAGTACTGGAGTGGGTTGCCATTTTCCTTCTCCAGGGGATCTTCCTGACCCAGGGATTGAACCCAGGTCTCCCGCATTGCAGGCAGACGCTTTACTGTGGAGACATAAGAGATGCAGATTCAATCCCTGGATCAGGAAGATCCCCTGGAGGAGGGCATGGCAATCCACTCCAGTATTCTTCCCTGGAGAATCCCATGGACAGAGGAACCTGGCAGGCTTAATTAGTTTAATATAGTCCACAGGGTCGAAAAGAGTCGGACACGACTGAAGCAACTTGGCACACACACATGCACGTACATCAGTGTGCATGGGAACATAGTTTGGCAACTCTCTTAACCATAATTATAGTAATAGTAATATTATTGTCTACCACTGATCCCACCTGCATATTTCTAAACACAAGTGGATTATCTTATTTAATTCTCAGGATATCCCTATGAAGTAGAAGCTTTTTTCATGACCATTTTATCGCTGAGATGATTGAGGCATAGAGTGCCTTGCTCAAGATTCAGCAGTTAGTGATGGAGCCAGATGCTAACATAAGCGTAACTCAAGGGCCACCATTTAACACATGCCATATGGTTGTTGTCAGAACTTAGAAGGGTATGTTCTCATTCTTTGCCAGAGAAGACAAATGAACACTTCCTGTATTTGACAATTCTCTTTTGTTCTTTAAGAAAAAAAATTTTGTTTTTACTTTCAGGGAGATTCCTTGTGTGACTCAAGATTTTAGTCAGCTATGAGTGGCAGTACCGTTACATTGAAATCGTGGAGAACTCCAGGATCCTTTGGGGAGCATTGAGAATCTATTTTTGAACTTCTTTCAAAAACACAGCTGAAGGTTAAGGCCTCATATTCAGAATAGAAAACTGCTTTTGGAGAAGGAGTATCTACTTAAAAGAATGGCCCTGAGCCTTCTCCTCTCTGGATTTTATCAACCTCTCTCAACAGGGTTGTTGTGTTTATCTGTATGTCTAAACCCCACGTGTTCACTTTTGTTTACCACACTAATGACTGCTCTGCAACACAGTCAGGTGTGTCTCTGAATAGCCTAACACAGGCAGTGACAGCTGTGTTTAATGATGACTCAGTATCAATGATGACTCTCTCCTAGTAGCGACGGAGCCACGGAAGGTCGGGCTGTGTGGGTGGACATTTGCACATCTTCTCTGTGACTCACTCAGCAGCCTGCCTTTCTGAGGGGAAATAGCAGTAGGTGGCTACAAGCTCTATTCATCTCCTCCCTTCTGTCTCATGCTGTGTGGATTGGGTATCCCCAAATCTCTGAAATTACGCAGCTAGATGACTTGATTATACCCAGTCTGCCACGCTGTTCAGATATGAGTGTAGTTTTTAACAATAAAGTTTTCGTTTCTAAATGTCTGTTGTAAGCCTGGCCACATGTGACCGTGTCCACAGGTTAATCCAGACACTGTTCATCACCCAGAGCCAACCTGAATAGGCACACACGTAAAAACTATAGTGTTAATTTCCTTAGGAAGGGAGGAAGGCAACTATTTATAATGAGTCTGATGCTTGCATACAATAGCTAGAAAATATTATAAGAGTAGAAAATTATTTGGGATAGTAATAACAGAGGTCAAGTTTATGGATATCTGGATATAGCTTCAGAAGTCAGAAAGCTAATGTCATATTATACAGAAGTATATGTTGGATCAAATTTTATTTAGTCAAAATAAAGGACAAAGGTTTTCAGAGCCTGCAGCAGCTACCTGGAAAAAAAGATGGTGTTTAATCTCATTATTTTAATTTTTTATGTCATTATTTTAACTTTCTCTCATATAGAGTTTTCTACATGTTCATTATAGACAAAGTGTTAGGTACAAGAAGATGTGAGGTAGAAAGTGAAAGTAGCCCATTTTTATCGCCAGAAACACCCATTCTTTTGTTTTGCATAGTTTGTCTCCTTTCCTCCCTCTTTTTCTATTCCTCTCTTATGCTGCAAATACACTGGTAATCCTGCATTTAAATGTAATACCATATCCTAAGGATTTTCTATGATTTAAAGAAAAGACTTTGCTAATTTGGTGGGAGAAAAATAGCTAGCTTTAATTTGCATGCTGTTCATGTTTTAATTAGGATTAACATTCTTGACTGTCAATTTATATGTAACCTATGGAGTGCTAACTTTTCTATTCTTTATTTTACTGTAAAATTGGAAACATTACTAAAGCAAGCCTCTGGTTTCAGATGTCCTAAATGATGCCATATTTGATGAAGATCATGATGAGATGGTGATTGTGAAGGACATAGACATGTTTTCCATGTGTGAACATCATCTAGTTCCTTTTGTTGGAAAGGTAAGTTTTTCTGTGTTGTTTCATAACAATGTTTAAAAGCACAATGACAGTTTTAAAGTTAGGATAATTATATTTTAAACTGTCACCTGGTAATTCTTAATATCCCAGAAACTCATGAATATCTATTCTTTATCAGCCCAACTAATTTAATGGCTGGAAATGAACTAAATAGAAACAAGTAGCAAAAGCCCTTCAGGGCAAGCATTTCACAGTAAATACCATGTTAATAGGTTAAAATAATGAGATTAAAGACCATCTTTTTTTCTAGGTACCTGCTGCAGTCTCTGAAAAACCTTTGCCCTTTATTTTAACTAAATAATATTTGATCCAAGCTATACTTTCGTGTAAAGTGACATGAGCGGTAATGATTGCAGAACTTCTTGTGGCAGAGGTTATAGTATTAGTGGATTTGTTTCCAACCCTTTTAAAATATTTTAGGAAAAATGAATCTGTGAGCTAGATAAAGTTAACGTTGTAGTTAAATATCCCTCTGAGAACATGTGGGTTACCAAGAGTTGTCCTGTTCTCTTCCCTCCTCCCATATCATAATTTTATTTTATGTTTTTACTTTTTATTAATAATTTTTGAGTGGAAGACTTATAGGAAATAGTGATATGAATATACCTATCACCTAAATTTAATGTGTTAACATTTGCCTCACATTTTTTGTTAAAGTATTTCTTTCATTTTTGTAGAAATGAGACGTAGAAAAATGTACAACTCATTAGGCTATTCCCTACTACCTCACAGATCAAGAACTGGAACACTATCAATGTCTTGAAAGCTCAGCTTGTGCCCCTTGTTAATCCCCAACCCATCTTGTCAGCACAGTATATGGATTTCTAACATTATAGATTGATTGGTTTTGCTTATTTTTCAACCACTGTATATAAATAGGTGGAGTCTGCAACATGTACTCTTTCGTGTTTGGCTTCTTTTGTTCTACATTGCAAGAGTCAGTGGTGTTATTGCCTGTCACTGTAGTTTATTTTCATTGCTATATATAATTCTTTTGTACAAACATACCACAATTTATTGTTCTGTTTTTGGTGGATATTTGTATTTTTCCTCTCTCTCTGTGTTTGAGTTTTTTGGTTGGTGGTGGTGGTGATTTTTTTTGTTGTTGTTTTTTCTTTTTGGCTATTACAAACAATACTGCTACCAGCATTCTTTTGATGTACAGATGCATCATATTTCTTTTTAACATTTTTATTTATTTTTTAATTTTAAAAAACATTTTGTTTATTTATTGGCCACATCATGTGGCTTGCAGGATCTCAGTTCTCCAACAAGGGATTGAAACTGGGCCATGGCAGTGAAAACCCAGAATCCTAACCACTAGGCAACCAGGGAACTCCCTAATTTATTTTTTACTTTAAGTATAGTTGCTTTACAATATTATATTAGCTTCAGGGGTACAGTAAAGTTGTTCAGCTATATACATATCTATATTTCAGACTTCTCCATTATAGGTTACTATAAGATACTGAATATACTTCCCTGTGCTATACAGTAAATACTCATTCCCTATCTGTTTTATGTGTAGTAGTTTGTATCCTAATTTATCCCCCTCCTCTTGCTTTTCCCTTTAGTAACCATATGTTTGTTTTCTATGTCTATTAGTCTGTTTCTATTTTGTATATTATTTTTGAGATTCCACATATAAGTGATATCATATGATATTTGCCTTTCCCTTTCTGACTTTATTCACCTAGTGTTCTCTAGCTCAATCCATGTTGCTGCAAATGGCAATACTTCTTTTTTTTTTTATGGATGAGTAATAGTCCACTGGAGAATCCCATGGATGGAGGAACCTGGTGGGCTGCAGTCCATGGGGTCGCAAAGAGTCGGACACGACTGAGCGACTTAACTAATAGTCCACTGTATACATAAAACTGGGCTTCCCTGGTGGCTCAGACGGTAAAGAGTCTGCCTGCAACGTGGGAGACCTGGGTTCGATCGCTGGGTTGGGAAGATCCCCTGCAGAAGAAAATGGCAATCCACTCCAGTATTCTTGCCTGCAGAATCCCACGGCAGAGGAGCCTGGCAGGCTACAGTCCATGGAGTCACAGAGTCAGACACAACTGAGCAACTAACATGCACACACACACATACATATAACACATCGTCATAAACCAATTGTATCTTGATGGGCACTTGAGTTGTTTCTATGTCTTGGCTATTGTATTAATAAATAGTGCTGCTGTGAACATTGTGATGTTCATATGAATAGTGCTACTGTGAACATTCTTTTTGAATTAGAGTTTGTATCTTTTCTGGATATATGCCTGGGAGTGGGGCTGCTGGATCATATGGTAACTCTAGTTTTTTTAAAAGGAACCTCCATTCTGTTTTTCCACAATGGCTACACAAATTTGCATTCTCACCAACAGTGTAAGAGGGTTCCCTTTTCTCCACACCCTATCCAGCATTTATTATTTGTAGACTTCTTGATGATGGTCATTCTGATTTATGTGAAATGATACTTTGTTGTGGTTTTGAGTGCATTTCTCTAATAATTAGCATTTTTTTCATGTGCCTGTTGGCCATCTGTAGGTCTTCTTTGGAGAAATGTCTGTTTAGGTCTTCTGCCCATTTTTTGATGGATTTTTTTTTTTCAATATTGTGTTGTATGACCTGTTTGTATATTTTGCATATTAACTCCTTGTTTATCCCATCATTTCCAAATATTTTCTCTCATTACATAGATTGTTTTTTTGTTTTGTCAATGATTTTCTTTGCTGTGTAAAAGCTTGTAAGTTTGATCAGATCCCATTTGTTTATTTTTGCTTTTATTTCTTTTGTCTTGGGAGACTGATCTAAGAAAATATTGCTATGACTTACGTCAGAAAATGTTTTGTCTATGTTCTCTTCTAGTAGTTTTATGATGTGTTATGTCTTATATTTAGGTCTTTAAACCATTTTGAGTTTATTTTTATTTATAGTTCGAGGAAGTGTTCTGATTTCATTAATGTCCATGTAGCTGTCCTACTTTCCCAACACCATTTATTGAAGAGATTGTCTTTTCTTCATCGTATATTGTCTCCTCTGTCACAGATTGACCGTAAGTAAGTACGTGCGTTTATTTGGGGTCTTTCTGTCCTATTCCACCGATTTCTGTGCACTGGAGCTTCGTAGTATTGTCCGAAGTCTGAGAGAACTATGCCTCCAGCTTTTCTCTTTTCCCTCAGGATTGTTTTGACAAATCTAGTGAATTGTAAATGACAATTCTAGTAAATTTTAGTGTTACTTGTTTCAGTTCTGTGATTAGGTATTTTGATTTTTACAAATAGTTTACAAATTTGGGAAACTCAGCAGTGGCCACAGGACTAGAAAAGGTCAGTTTTCATTCCGGTCCCTAAGAAAGGCAACGCCAAAGAATGTTCAAACTACCACACAGTTGCACTCATCTCACACACTAGTAAAGGAATGCTCAAAATTCTCCAAGCCAGGCTTCAACAGTACATGAACCGTGAACTTCCAGATGTTCAAGCATCTGGATTTAGAAAAGGCAGAGGAACCAGACATCAAACCACCAACATCTGTTGGATCACTAAAAAAGCAGGAGAGTTCCAGAAAAACATCTACTTCTGCTTTATTGACTATGCCAAAGCCTTTGACTGTGTGGACCACAACAAACTCTGGAAAATTCTGAAAGAGATGGGAATACCAGACTACTTGACCTGCCTCTTGAGAAATCTGTATGCAGGTTAAGAAGCAACAGTTGGAACTGGACATGGAACAGACTTGTTCCAAATAGGGAAAGGAGTACATCCAGGCTGTATATTGTCACCCTACTTATTTAACTTATATGCAGAGTACATCATGAGAAATGCTGGGCTGGATGAAGCGCAAGCTGGAATCAAGATTGCCAGGAAAAATATCAATAACCTCAGATATGCAGATGACACCACCCTTATGGCAGAAAGCGAAGAAGAACTAAAGAGCCTCTTGATGAAAGTGAAAGAGGAGAGTGAAAAAGTTGGCTTAAAACTCAACATTCAGAAAACTAAGGTCATGGAATCTGGTCCTGTCACTTCATGGCAAATAGATGGGGAAACAGTGGCAGACTTTATTTTTGGGGGCTCCAAAATCACTGCAGATGGTGACTTCAGCTATGAAATTAAAAGATGCTTGCTCCTTGGAAGAAAATCTATAACCAACCTAGACAGCATATTAAAAAGCAAAGACATTACTTTGCCAAAAAAGGTCCTGTTTAGTCAAAGTTATGGTTTTTCCAGTAGTCATGTATGGACATGAGAGTTGGACTATAAAGAAAGCTGAGCGCTGAAGAATTGATGCTTTTGAACTGTGGTGTTGGAGAAGACTCTTGAGAGTCACTTGGACTGCAAGGAGAGCCAACAAGTCCGTCCTAAAGGAAATCAGTCCTGAATATTCATTGGAAGGACTGATGCTAAAGCTGAAACTCCAATACTTTGGCCACCTGATATGAAGAACTGACTCATTTGAAAAGACCCTGATGCTGGGAAAGATTGAAGGTGGGAGGAGGAGGGGATGAGAGAGGATGAGATGGTTGGATGGCATCACCAACTCAATGGACATGAGTCTAAGTAAACTCCAGGAGCTGGCGATGGACAGGGAGGCCTGGCGTGCTTCAGTCCATGGGGTTGTAAAGAGTCGGACACAATCTGTAGAATGTATTTGGAGTCATATGGCCATTTTCACAGTAAAAATCCTTCTAATCCAAGAGGATGATATATATTTACATTTCTTTGAATCATCTATACTAGCAGCACTCCTCCCATGCACCCCTACCTCCCTCAGCAAGCATTTTGGACTGGGACGTGTGGAAGCCAGGTGGAGCCACAGCCAGTCTCTCTTCACTGACTGCTAGCAAGCTAGCATGTATACATTCCTTGCGAGAAGAGTCCAGGCCACTCCAGCCCCTCTGTCTATTCGAGCAGACCTCCCAGTAGGCAAGGGGGCTCCGCAGGGGGAGGGTCTGCACCTGTGGGCCTTCTTTCCTAGGGCCACTGGCCCCTAGGATTTTTTTTCATAATCAGATCTCTACCTGAGTCCATGGAGATCTTTCTTATAGCTTTGGTTATATAAGAAATCTTTTGTCAGTTTCTAGTTGGTTTTCTTTGTGAATTGTTCCACGTGTAGACGGATTTTTGATGTGACTTTGGGGAGTGGGGTAAGCTGAGCTCCATATCCTCCTTCTCTGCCATCTTGACCCACCTCTCACATGCATTTCTTTAGCAGTATACCTAGGAGTGGAACTGCCGATACAGGGTATACCTATGTTCAACTTATTAAATACTGACTTTTAGCTTTCCAAATTGGTTGTAACAATTTGGTACAGTTTACATTTCATTTACTCTCATGAGTCCTAGTCACTCACATCCTCATCAACATTTGGCACTTTTAGTGTTTTTAAGTTTAGTATTCTGATGTGTGTGTAGTGGCATCTCTTTTTAAACCTTTTATTGTAGAAATTTTCAAACATATCTAAGAATAGGTAGATTAGTATATAATATTCCATGTTCCCAACAACCAGTTTCAACAGTTGTCAGTAAAGGGCCAGTCTTGTTCTATTAATATATATATCCCCACTGGACTGTTTTGAAGCAAATCCTAGATGACATTTTTTTTTTTTTGTAATTTCTTCTAGCATATTTCTCTAAAAGATAAGGATTTTTTGAGAAGTATAACTCTGATTGGATTATCAACCTTAAAAGTTGGCAGTAAGTCCTTTAATATATTGAAGTATCTTAGACAACAGGACTCTTTATTACTAATTATTAATGCCCATCTCTAAAATATTCTTACTTAGCCACAGTAGCACTACCATAGACAAAAGTGTGCATGTTCTAGTTGCTTAGTCATGTCCAACTCTGCAGCCCCATGGACTGTAGCCTGCCAGGCTCCTCTGTTCATGGGATTCTCCAGGCAAGAATACTAAAGCAGGTTGCCATTTCCTCCTCCAGGGAATCTTCCCAACCCAGAGATTAAACCAGCATCTCTTGCATCTCCTGCAGTGGCAGGCGGGTTTTGTACCACTGTGCCACCTGGGAAGCCCAGACAAAAGTAACAGTAATTCCTAAATAGCATCTAATAACTAATCCATATTATATTTTCTCAGGTGTTTCAACTGTCTTGCGGTTGGTTTGTTTAAACCAGAATCCAAATAAGGCTTATACATTTGGTTGTTACGCATCTGCAGTCTCTCATTTTAAAATAGTCTCCCCTGACAGCCACCCACCTACCCACGCTAATGACATTCTTTTACTCAATTTACTAGGCCAGTTGTTCTGTAGAGCCTCTCAGTTTCTGAATTTGCTTTCCATTCAGTCTTTTGATTTTTCTATATACTAGATTCGATCTAAAACTTCTTAAGTTTAAGGTTAAAAACATATTTGAATAGAGTAGTTCATTGGGATGCTGAGAGCTCTGTATTCCATCATATCAGGAGGCATATATGGTTTGGTAGTTCCACAATTAATGATGCTGGACTGTGACAGCAGGGTTCAGGATTTTAAAACATGAGGGAACGTGTGAGCTCATTGCTACCTTTTAAGTGAGAAAGTTAGGCTTAGGAAGCTATGACTTGTCCAAGAAGACATAGGGAGTTAGTCTGGGGCCAAACCAGGAGCTCGATCCTATACTCAGTCTTTCTCCACTGTACCCTTTTACCTTCTGCTGTGGTTGCCTCTGTGTCTGTGCTCTCATTAGCTCTGTTCTTGAACATATTATTCAGTGATGATTGTCTAAAGTGGTCATTTAGATGATGGGATCTTAAAGAAGACTAAGAATTGTGCCAACAAATTATAGCTCTGCATATAAGTATGTAAATCTCGATGATACTTCTGTATCTTGGTTCTATGGGGAAGTTTCCACTCTAATTTTTCTTTGAAATACCCAGTGTCCAGGTGCTACATAATTTTTTCTTTCTGCTGACCAGTAAGGTGATGAGTTGGTATTCTCAGACTCCCGAAGCATAGCACCTATTACTATGACTAGTGACTAATTAGTCATTAAAATGACTAATTACTGATTATTCAAGTGTACAGTAAATATTAGGTGAACAAATGCAACTAAGACTGGCAAATTATCATGCAAATGAATTAGTCATTTTATATTAGGTAAATTGATTGCCTATAAATGATCATTTATTAATCTTTTTGGAGAACTTAATGTCCTCTCATACTTAACACTTGACTGAAAGGTAACATTTTCATACTAGATATTAACCAGTGCTCTGTAAGATTATAGAAATGGCTTTGAAAAAAAAAGAAATGGCTTTGCTTTATAGTAGGTCCTACAAGAATTTAGGACTTAGGATCCAGGTTCATTCTGAGTCCCAACTGGTAACTGTGTCCTTTTTTCCCCTGTCAGGAGGATGGTGTTCTCCAGCAGCTTAGAAATGGGGCTTCCCAGCACGACAAAGGGCATGGGCACCCTCTTTCTGTGCAACAGAGATCTGCAACAGGGTGGGATTCAAGGCCACCATGATGTGTGGAATGGCAATATTTGTAGTTTCAGCCGTTTAAAGGATGCTTTCTTTAACTACATTTTAATGTTGCTGTGGGATAATTTGCACTTTCCTGAGACAGTTTCCTCTCAACAGAGGAAGGATTTTAAGAATTGTATCCAGAATTTAACTTCACAAGGAAATACCATGACTATACTTCAAGCTTGTCATTTTATTAATAATCATTCTTATTTCCCTTTTATTTCATTTATGTAATTTTTAATTATTTATGCAAGTGCTTCATTTTCTATCTTAAAGTATCTAGATGTTTTAGAAATATGTTTTCACTGTGCTGAACTACATAGTAAGTATACTGTATTGTTTCCTTTTATCACAAAGAAGTACTGTGTTTCACTTAGTTCATGATTTCTGTCTCTTTTCTGAAGGTCCATATCGGTTATCTTCCTAACAAGCAAGTTCTTGGCCTCAGCAAACTTGCTCGGTAAGTATGACTGTAGTGAATAAGAGGACAGGTTTATAGGACCTGTCCCTACATGGCGAGAATCTTATCAAGCTTTGTCTCTTGATCCATGTGGATCTCACTTGGAAGGCACATTCCAACTTACTTCATGGTTGCAGAGATAATATATAGACATATGTATAGTCTGTCTAAGACAGACTTGGAGGACCTGAAACACAGATGCCCTTTTCTTTTCACTCCTCTGTTGGCCTGCCTTCCTTCTCCACCTCCCACCTGCACAGCCTTGAAGCCTTACATCACACTTTTCTCGGCAGAGCCTTCCTAACTGGAAAGGCCCTGAGGGTAAGTTCAGCTCAGCCCCTGTTCTTTTTTTTTTTTCATTTTTTAATTGAAGGATAATTGCTTTACAGAATTTTGTGGTTTTCTATCATACATCAACAAGAATCAGCCATAAGTCCACCCAGCTCCCATTCTTTAAGGGTGGCTTAGCTAAGAGGGCTGAGAGAGGAAACCTGGGCAGAGGTGTAACTGCACTGCACTCTTGACTTTTAAATGAACCCCCACTGGGCCTCAACCCTGCTTTCCACTGTGCCTGGGTACCTCCATGCCTCTCTCTGGGTCCTGCAGGGCCAGGTGGTTCACTTCTGGTTCCTCTCACTCTTCAGATCCAAGACTATACCTTCCTTGACTTTTTCATTCCCCCCCTCCCCCGGCTCTGTTCTGAGACAGTGCTTACTCTCCTGTTTCTCTTTGTGCTACAGTCCTTTTTTCTCTTTATCCTGTGGGTTCAGGGCTTTACCACTATTCTTAAGTTTTAGGAAAGAAGTGGTGATATACTAGCATGATCGCCTGTGTTTAGCTAGAAGTCAACCTGAGGGTTAGTGTTTATATATCTCTGATAGGAACAGTGGAATATTGGGGGCCAGACCTACATACCCTTTTGTATAGTTTCCTTGTATAGCATTAGTGACTCCTGTGTGATGAGGAAATACTGGGAGGTGTGTGTATTGGAGGAGGTTAAAATAAAGGAGTAGGTAATGAAATGCAGTCGTTGTCCCCCTCCTAAAAATAAACCAAGCTAAGTTTGGATAACTTGACTGAGGTGAAAGTGAGCATAGCAAACTTTAAATGAACATAACTTTGTGACCAACCGACTATCCTGTGGCTCTGATATGTTCCTGTTTCTTCGCCACTTAGACGATCCTGAAACAGTGGTCCAAATCCTTTCCAATTCTGTGTTGGATTCTGTAAACACCACCCCAGCAGTCTGACACCTGCTTTCCACAGCAGTTCTTTTTACTTTGTTTTCATGTCCATGTTCTTACTCATTTCTTCTAGGGATTAAGGAGAAAGTAGGTGGAAGAGAGAAATTTAACTTCCCTAGTTTCTGACCTCATTCCTCAATCTCACAACCAGACAGGGCTCCTTGGTACCATGAAAGGATGTTCTTAAAATCATAACTATTGCTTTACTGCAGTCAGGCTCTTAATACAAATATGCAAGCATGTTGGTGTCTTTCAGTGATCTGTATCCAACGGCAGTGCCAAGGAGTGGCTGAAAAATAGCACCGGTGGTGGTGGTGGGGTAATTTACCTTATTATAATTTCTATTAGCAACCTCCTCCCCAATAACTTTTACTCCCAAATGATAAAGTTATATCAACTGAATACGTGTCTTTATTATAATTGGTTATGCTTACTGTTTTATAATAAATAATCTAAGTAAGTTCAGCAGGCTTGCTGTGCAAACATAGAAGTAGGCCCAGTCCCCTGGTACTCTCTTTTCCAGCACGCTTGCCAGTCCTACACTTCATATAGAAATCTTGGCCTGCTCCCACCTGTAGATTCTCTGTGTGTGAAAGGTGTAAAATAGATAGTTTTTATACTATAAAAAGCCTGGCAGACTACACTAGGCTGTGGTCTTAATGTAAGCAGTCTTCTCTAGAAGACCTCACTGTGTGTAGACCATGGGCAACACTTTATAGAAATGGGTGTGAGAGTAATCTAGTGAGGTCCTTGAAGAAGTGGTGACTTGAGGGTGGAAGGCCCTTGGTTATTTCCTTTCCTAATGGGAGAAAAAGCTCTCCAATAATTAAGCTTTTATGAACAATACAAAGGAGTTAATTATTAGCATGGGGATTTGTCCTTACACGAATAGGATTAAAACGTAAGACACCAAAAAAAGGAACCAAAGAACTGAAAACTGAGTGTATATTAGTTTCAGATATTTTGTAAAGATTTTAAATAAAAGATCCATTAAATAAAACAGAAGGCTAAGATATTATCCAATTGCTTATTCCTTCTAAGAAGTTGGGAATATTTGGGGAATGAAAAGGAATAAAGCTGAATGTCTTAGCAAAATTTCACTGCTCATTTTAATCTTGTATGTGAAGTTTGTTATATGCTTGCCTTCAAATGAATGACCTTTCATTTCCAGGGAAGTCAAATATCAAACAGTAAAGCTTTAAGTAACAAGAAAATGCCAGAAGTAAGTTGATCTGGTTTAACCCTGGTAGAATTCTAGAGTAATATTTAGTTTGAATAGAAATTCCGTCTGTTGCTGAAAATCCATTGAACATGTATTTGTTTTCTTGCTTTAGAATAATTGCGTGAACACAATTAAATCTTGAGTATAGAATTGTAGCGCCTCACGTGGCTGTGGCTCAGCTGTTGGGCAACTTCTGTGAAAGGACCGTGCCAGTTACTGTGGCTGCTGGAGGGAAGTAGGACACAGCCACTGCCCTCTCGGAGGGCCAGCAGTAGGAGGCAGCAGGTGCCAAGGCTCGCCTGGTCAGGAGCCCTGCGTGCAGAGGACCCACGATGGCTGTGCCTGGCAGGGTGGAGGGCTGAGCAGAGCTCTGACCAGAAGAGAAGCGCCTCTAGGTATAGTTCATGAACAACCAAAGGCAAGTCAGAGGGTGGGAGCAAGACATATTCCAGGGGATGGGCAGCAGGTCGATTGATCCAGGAGGTTCAGACTGGGAGATAGTTAACAATGGTAGATTAGATTACAAAGGGAATGTTTTTTGTGTTTTTTTTTTCTCATTTTTCTCTTATAAAAGTAATATGGCAGTTAAATACAAGTGAATGACTAAAGGGAAAACTTTTCTTTCCTATTTCCATTCCCCACTAGAGATCTTTCACTATCCTTCTGGAAGATTTCAATGCGAACATGTGGCCTTAAAACTACTCGCTAAATAAGACAAAAGGGGATCATGTCTTACATTCACTACTACTTTAAAAAAAAACACATAAAATTCCTTGGACAACTTTTAGTCTAAAAAGTCCAAGTTCCTTTTAATGGCCTCATTGTATTTGTTAAAAATTAATTAATTACTTTTGGCAGAGCTGAGTCTGCGCTTTGGTGAGCGAGGGCTACTCTCTAGCTGCAGTGAGCGGACTCAGTAATTGTGTCACAGGGGCTTAGTTGCTCCATAGCATGTGAAAATTTCCTGGACCAGGGATTGAACCCATGTTCCCTGCATTGGCAGGCAGATTCTTAACCACTGAACCACCAGGGAAGTCCAGTATTTCTTTAATATAATTCACTTAACCAGTCTTTGAGCTTACAGCTTGAGACTGTTGTCAAAAATGGATGGGGGAAAAACTGTTGGTGAATACATTTTTATCTATTTCCATACTTTGAGTCTATAAGAGTAGAATAAGATTACTGGGTTGAGAGTAGCTAAATTGTTTATGTTACCAAATCGCTCTCAAGAAAAGATCCTACAGATCTGTACTCTAATAGTAGGTTAGTGGCATGTGTTTCTCTACTGTTTTGCCAGCACTGACAAACATTGAAGAGTCTGCAGTCCGAGCAAGGTAAGTAAAAATTGGTACCTTATTGTTTTAATTTGCACTTAGAGTGAGGTTAAATTTGTTCAGAAACTTCCTGATCTTAGTCTTTGCTAATTTTTCAATTAGGTTGCTTGTCTTTTTATTAACTGGTGTATATGAGCTTTCTGAATATTAAAGCTGGGAATCATTTTCCAGGCTTATAATTTGTCTTGTTTTCTAGTATCCTTTTTCATGAAGTTGAAAACTTGCATAGTCATAAATTCATGTTTTGGGGGGTTACTTTTATGACCTTATTTTTACATGTAGATCTTTGCTATATGTATTTTGGGGCAAGGAGTGAGGAGGAATCCCTCTCTTGCTGTTGTATGCTCGCTGACCTGTACCACCCCCGCTTCCCTCGCATTGCCATGCCGCTTGCTGGCTATCCTTACTGCTACTCTTGGGACTTTGATGTTCCTCTTGGATTTTGTGTTAAATTCCTAACTCCTGTCCTCACATCTCTTAGGATCCTTAGCTCTGCTCTCATGTGCTGGTAGGGTGTTCTTTCTCAAGTGTGGGTTTGACAGTGCTTCCCCCTTCATAGCTCTATAGCTCTTAATAAAGTTCAAACTTCTTACTTTAGCTAAGTCCCACTGTGACCTGGCTCTATTTCTTGCTGTTCTTTTGCTTTTTTCTCTAGCCACACTTGAGAATTTGCAGCCTGGTATCAAGTCTAGCTTGTTAAGTCAAATGATATGAAGGCATCAGAAACACTTCTAAGATCTGCAGAGGTTAAATTATACCATCCATGGGTTCTTCCTGTAAAAAGTACCACCAGATTACTTTCCCAGTTGCCAGAGGAGGAAGAGGAGAGAAAGTATAATACAGAGTTATTATATTATATATATTGTTATATATGATATATTATATTGTAATACAGAGAGAAAGTATAAAACAGAGGACCTAGCAGAGATGTTATAAGACCAGTAAGTGTGTGCATGCTCAGTCATGTCCAACTCTTTTGCAACTCCATGGTCTGGTAGCCTGCCAGACTCTTCTGTCCATGAACTCTCCAGCAAGAATACTGGAGTGGGTTGCCTTTACTGCCTCCGGGGATCTTCCCAACCCAGGGATCAAGCACATATTTCCTGCATTGGTAGGTGGGTTTTTTCCCACTGAGCCACCTGACTCATTGGATTAAATGTGGTATCCAAACATATCCCCCCTTTAAAAAAAATAAAATGCTAGTTAAAATTAAGGCAAAATTTGTCAAAGGGGATAAAGTGGGTCCTCTTATTTTGAGAAGGTTGTATAATAAAAGTGGTAATGAGGACTTCCCCGGTGGTCCAGTGGTTCAGACTCCATGCTTCTAATGCAGGGGACATGGGTTTGATCCTTAGTTGGGGAATTCCACATGCTGGATTCCACATGCTGTGTGGCTTGGCCAAAAAAAAATTAAAAAACAAACCAAAAAAAATTAAAAGTAGTCATGAATCTTCATCAAATGAGTTCAAAGCAAAACATGAACTGGCTGAAATGCGTAGAGCAACTGACAAACCTGAAGGAGTAGGAACACTAATTACCTCCCAACCTTTGATATGGACAAAAGGATACATGGGAGTGGGTAACCTTTCCCTTCTCCAGGAGATCTTCCCAACCTAGGGATCAAACTCAGGTCTCCTGCATTGCAGGCAGATTCTTTACCAACTCACCCACAGGGAAGCCCAAGAATACTGGAGTGGGTAGCCAGTCCCTTCTCCAGGGGATCTTTTCGACCTAGGTATTGAACTGGGGTCTCCTGCATTGTAGGCGGATTCTTTAGCAACTGAGCTATCAGGGAAGCCCTAAAAGATATACCATATCATCTCAATAGATGTAGAAAAGCATTTGACAAAATTCCATATCCATTCATGATAAAAACTAAGAGTATAAAGGCAATATATCTCATTGTCTTGTATAGTAACGGCTATATATGACAAACCCACATCTAGCATCTTATTCAATGGTGACAAGCTGAAAGCATGATCTATCATAATTGCTTATAAGTTTAATAATTTTATCTAGAGATGAGAGGTTATCTAACAAAACATATTCTTTAAAAATTTCTTAAAAACTTACTCAAAGATTAAAGAAGAAGGTGGATGGGAATGAGCCAAGCATTAGAAAACCTAGATAAGCTAGTAACCATTAGGAAAAGTAAAATTAATGTTGGAAGAGGAGTGGCAGGGAAGGGGCTAAACCTAGTTAGTGTAGTAGGCATTTTTTCAAACTTTTGAGTAACCCCTGACTTTCATGTTAGTAATTCAAGAGCGTGAAAAAACCTAAAAAGCTGTATTAGATGAAGTTGTCTGTGCCTGATAACAAAGCCTGACAAAGCTGTTTAATTATAGACTAATCTCAATTATGAGTGTAGTCATAAAAATCCTAACTATCAAAAAACTTTTATCATCCAAGGAGCTTTACTTTAAGAATACAAAAATAGTTTAGATTAAAATAGAAAACTGTTGATTCCTGCAATATGGTAAACTAGATTATAATGATATCTTGGTATGGCATACTTATACTATATCTTGGTATAACATATGATATAAGGTGTATCAACATTTCATTCATTGGGGGAAATATAAAGCAGGCATCTCTCATGATGGTCAGTGGCCACAGGGTCCCACATTGCTCATGGATGGCCACCTCAGGATTCCCCCAAAACTTTGCATTCCCCACCCACATTCCCTGATATCTCTGCATTCATGGCAGTTTGCTCTGCCTTGGCTGGCTTGGCAGTTGTTGGGCTGCACCCCGCAGGCCTGCAAGCCTTGGATTGCCCAGCCTCAAGACCGAAGAACAAGCCCCAAAACAGCAACAGCGATATCAACAGTTTGGTGCACAGGGGAGCCTTATGAGTTCAAAGCAAGGTCCTGGAACAATACCTCATTGTGCCCAGCAGCCACCTTAGCTACTCAGGGAGAAGGAGGCTACCATTTTTAGAGGGAATTGACGTCAGGTTGGCTCATCAGTTACCAGGGAAACCAGCGACTGGGCATTGGGCAAGCACAGAGGCAGTTAAGAGAATTGGATAGTCATGTGAGAGAAGCAGGGCCTTATTGAGCAGATGTCCAGAAGGCAAGACTACAGCCATCTTGAATGGCCTGACAATACACTATATGATTATCTTTAATGCTGAGAAGACAGGGATTCAATACCTATTTCTTACTTGAAAAAGAGTAGGAATAAGAAATTATAAACTGTGGGTATAAGACCCCTGTTTGCCACATACTCGCAACACACACAGTAGATGGTCAATAACAAACGATGCTCTTTCAGCACGGTAGCCATTGTCGACCAGCAACATTTAGGCGCTGTGGGTGGCAGAGAAAGGTAAGAGGCGTTCCTGTGAGACTTGGCGGCCTACCTGTGACTGCCTTCTGTGACTATCACAAGTAATAAAGCAAGTCGTCAGTTCTGTCTGAGTGGCACAGTGGGGAAAAGGGCTGTAACACACGTTGTAGGTGAGCTGATCCTTAAATTGAGTCCAGATTCATGACTAAAATGCCAAATTTTAGGGAAGAGATCCTTCACATGAATTGCAATCCTCAAATGTGTAATTTGGTGACTATCCCAATGTTTTATAGCCAGAAGAAGAGGTGTTGAAAGGGGAAATGCATCACTGGACAGACTGTTATAAGCTGAGATCAGGGGCTCCTATCGGGATTACTGTATGATTATATATTATAAAGAGATGTCTGAAGAAGAAGTCCGTTTAGCTCTAATCTGATTATCCTAATAGGTTTAGTTGGTACATAGTTGACGTTAGTCTGCTATTAATTAACAAATAGTCTTTATTTTTAGCTTGAGACTTAAGCTCTGATTAAACAATATGATTAATTAGAACACTTGAGACATGGTCTAAAATTGGTGATTTGGGAGCTTGAAAATTACTCACCTCTAATTGTTGTTTTTCCTCAGTGAATATTTACACTTCATTCTCTTTTTGCAGACTTAGGGAAGCACCACTCTATTGTGGTTGGTGGTCTCCTTCAGACCTCCCTTTTCTCATTTACTTGTATCCTTCTCCTCTAAGCATTTATCCACTGCCCACACCCTACAATTACTTCAATAAAGCAATTATTCTTTAGATTTATGGGGAAGGCTTCCAGTTTCACTTCAGTTTATAATTTAAACAATTCTTTCTTTTCTAGGATTGTAGAAATCTACAGTAGAAGATTACAAGGTAACTTTTAAACTATTTTATTTACAGAAAACCATTTTTTATTAAGGGAAAAGTATTCTTTGTTCTTACTACAAGTGTAATATATATGTCTTATAAAAATTAAGGGAGTTCCCTGGCAGTCTGCTGGTTAGGACTTGGTGCTTTCACTGTGGTGACCCAGGTTCAATCCCAGTCAGAGAACTAAGATGCCCTCAAGCTTCATGGCACAGCACACAATAAATAAATAAAAGAGTAAAAGAAACCTTGTTGGGAATATAAAACAGAAAGAGAAAGTCCACTATATTTCAAGCTTCCAGAAATAATCATTGTATTTGCAGATCCACCTTCCCTAATGGCTCAGATGGTTAAGAATCTGCCTGTAATGCAGGAGACCTGGGTTCAGTTCCTGGGTCGGGAAGATCCCCTGGAGAAGGAAATACCACCCCACTCCAGTATTCTTGTCTGGAAAATCCCATGGACAGAGGAGCCTAATGGGCTGTAGTCCATGTGGTCATGAAGAGTCAGACAAGACTGAGTGACTAATACTTTCACTTTCATATTTTATTGTATATACCAACATTTAAAAAATCAACTTACTTTTATTATAGTATTTGAAAACAGGCTTCACCCTTTTTTCCCTTACCAAACTTTTTTTTTTTCCCCACATACACATAACCATGTCTTTTATTTTGCTGACTGTTCAGCATTCCATTGTACAGCTGTGCTGTGGCTTAATTTAACCAATTCCTGCTCTGATAGTTGGGGATTTTGTCAGTTTTCAAACAAATGCAGTGCTGCAGTAAACACTTATTTCAAAGATATTGTTTATTCAGCACAGGAAAATTTAGGTTAAATCATTGGTTGTCAACATGGCTCTAAGAGCAATTTAATAATTGGACTATAGCCCCTTTGTAAGCTGTGGATTCATTTCTTTTACTCTCCGTCCATGGGGGTGCTGGTTGTCAATATTCTCTTGGTCTTTCTGCACACGTAAGAGACGGCCGTCACTCTAATCTGTTCCTCCAGTGGCGCTGGAGGGTGCCAGGGCTTCCTCAGTTCCCTTTGGCACCTGTATTGCAGGTGAGGGAATCGACCAGCGACGTCCATTCAGCAGAGAAAGCACACTGGTGAAGGCTGGTGCCTCTTCACCCTCACCAAAGTCTTGCTTTTAAGATTTCAGATATTCTAGAAACAGCAAAAGCTTCCAGCTGTCTGTTCGTGTCAGACTCTTAAACTGAGTTCCTTGTCACATCCACAGTTCAGGAGCGCCTTACGAAACAAATTGCCGTAGCAATCACAGAGGCCTTGCGACCTGCTGGAGTGGGGGTCGTGGTTGAAGCAACGTAAGTCTGTTTGCATTTAATAATGTCATAGTGGTTTTGGGGGTTGGAGGTGTAAGGAGTCATAGGCTTAGGTGTAGTGAATGTACACAACAGTAACAGCTAATGATTTCTTTAGCTCTTTGATTCTTTGAGCAGAGTTTTCCAAATACGTTGTCACACATTTAAAAAATAAAGAGTTGTACCTAAAAACAGGTAAAAAGGGCAACTGAAGACACTTCTTTAAGTTAGAATGAATTTTGAGAATTATGTACATCTTGTGGGCGGTTTTCACCCATTCTTTGTGCACTGCTGGCTATCGTCACCCACCTTGGTCACTGTTCTCTGGATCCCGCTTGGTGAGACCAGTGTGCCTCAGTATTTCTCTGAACACCTAGGTTGGCTAAGTGCTGACTTGGTCCGGAAGATGGATCAAGTGAGAACTCTGAATTTCTTTTTCTCTAGAAGTTGTGTATCTTTTAGACCTTTGTATTAGTTTCACCCAGGAAGAAAATTCCACTTCTCCTCCTCTGACTGGATGCCTTAAGGACCCAACCATTGATACAAATAAAAGCTATAAGGCTTACGAACTTAAAAAAATGTTTTAGGCCAAATTTATCTAAAAAGTGACTTTTTTACATACTTGATAACTGTGATTTAATCTTTTGGGCTGCTCTTATTTAAAACCCAAACCAGCAACTGTCTACTCCATGAGACTACCTTTGTTGCCTTGTTTCATAGACACATGTGTATGGTAATGCGAGGAGTACAGAAAATGAACAGCAGAACCGTGACCAGCACAATGTTGGGGGTGTTCCGGGAGGACCCGAAGACCCGGGAAGAGTTTCTGACCCTCATCAAGAGCTGAGCCTCAGCTTGTGCCACGTGGTTTACAGATCGTGCAGCTAGAAGCATCATTGTGTCTGGTCTTAATTGTTTGTACAGTCCACTTCCAGTTGTTACAGATGTGAACTCTCATCTCTGTCATTAATTGTATTTAATTATTTATAGCAAGTCAAATAAAAGTAATTAATAAAGGGGTGAGCCCTGTATTTTCTTCTTGCCACCTTTTAGTGGCAACATTCAAGAAAACTGCCAATAGTGTAAGTTGCAACCCCATGGACTATAGCCCACCAGGCTCCTCTGTCCCTGGAATTCTCCAGGCAAGAATACTGGCGTGGGTAGCCATTCCCTTCTCCAGGATAGTATAAGTTACTTGTATAAAACCACTGCCTTTCAGGTAACCTGAGGGTGCTGGGAAGGGAGAAGGACTCATGTGTTTTGTTCAGAGTATGGTAATTTGATTCAGAAGCACAGGAATGTTGGGGATGGGAGAAAATTATGGACAATATGTTTATTTTACCCTCTCCAAACAAAAATGGTGTCGTGCTTGAAATAATTTATGTACAGTGTGCAGCATTGCTCTGCAAATTGAAAATCCAAAAGGCTCCACTTTAATCATGATTATTTAACCACCTGACACTTTATTTTTTATATATTTTTAAACTATCCAGTTGTAACATATGTCACCAAGGGAAGGTAGTGGAATATCTATGTATTTTAATTTCACTGTGAGTTAAAAAGGCAATTTCTACCCTCTATTCTTTTTAAAATTCAAGTACAGGAAATTAGTTCCTGGAGTTGTTTACGAGTATATTCTCATGTCAATATACAGGGATTTAGACATTTAACTCTCTGTGCCTTGAGGAGAATATCACACCATTTAGAGTGTAGATACCTTTGCCTTTTTTTTTTTTAAAAGCCATTGTTTTATAAGACTTGTCCTGACATTGCAAATGACTAGTTCTCACAGTTCTACCTTTTCATTTTTCTTGGGAGCTTACTTTGTGAGTTCCTTGTAGATGCCTCAAAAAAAATTTTTTTAACTTATCAAATATTTTTCTAAGTATTTACAGAAACTTTTGAAAGTGTCCATCATTTTCAGGTTTGCAGAACCATAGCTTCCATGAATGTGAGAGAATGCAGATTGCACTGTGAACTGTTTTGAGCTCTGTCCCATGTCTAATGAAAGCGGTTTTGTTGGTGTCTGTGAAAATGCACCATCATTTTCTAGAATGAGTGTAAAATACTGGAAACTGGTATACTAGTTTCCCGTGTGGTCCAAGTGGATCTTATCTTTGGTGTGACTGTTCAAGTGGGATAGGTCTTTTAGTCCAGGAAGCTGCTGCCTTATTAATGATTATCTTAAAATTTCCTCCACTGGGGCAGTGTGGGCCAAATTGAAACAAACAACAACTAAAACCCCAACTCTCTGCAAAAACAAATACAGTTATTCCATGGAGAAGGCTGACACTGTGCTCTTCAAATTTATCCTGTTACCTTAACAAGGATTAACCACATACTTGCTGTAACTCTGGTAGTTTTGCCTCTGCCACTCTGATGCTGTTTGGCTTATGCAAGGGCAAGATGGCAAAGGTGTGTGTTGTTTTTTTTTAAAACTCTTCCCTACTTCTAGTTCCTTTATTTTCTCTATATTTGGAGTTTCTAAAGTAGTTTGGTGGTTGATTCTGAGTTCCTTTTAAAATTTAACCTGATATAGACATTATCCTACTTAACATTTAAACAGAGATAGAATTAATATTCATCTCATGCTTAATATTTTCAAGTTTTTACAGCTGTGACTTGGAGGACCAAAGAAATTGTTAGCTGTTAATTCATCTTCTTGAGATCAATTGTATTCCTTTTTAACTCTTTAAGATTCCCTAGAAGTGTTCTCATAAAAGTTTAAAATATCCATGGTATCGGTCTAGAGTGTTGGTAAATGCAGAGTAACTACCTTGTCTGTTTTACTCTGGTCTGTAAGTTCTTCAAAATTGCCTTTTCATATCCGTGGCCTTGAGTTCATTTTGGTTTTTAAGAATTTGATGCATTTAAATACACTGTTCAATTTAATTGTTCAACTTTTATGTATGGTGTATATTGTTCCTGAAGTTGGTTTTATTTAAATTATTAAAGTGTTATGACTTTGTTCTTGTGAAAATAGTTTCTTTTTGAACCACTCAATTATTTTTATTGCATTCTGTTTTAGCAAAGATACCCTTCATACTGGCTTCTCTCAGCCACCAAACTATTAGACTATAAATCCCAGAACATAAATTTACCCCCAGCTCTCTGTCTCTCGTTGGATATTACTTTCCTCACCCTCCTTCAGTAATGGGAAGGGGAGATCTAGGGCAAGAGTAAGGAATCTGAATGACCCTCATGTCCCTGTTCTAAGCCTAGCTTTGGGTAACTGCAGCTCCTGAGAACTGGCACTGCTTTCTGTGTGGGAGCAGCTGAGGAGGAAAGAGCTGGCTGGGGCAGGGAACTGGGCAGTGCAGGGAGTAGGAGAGTTTCTGTCTCTTTCATAGGGAAGAGCCTGCCTGGAAACTTCCAAGTAGGAGGGAAAGTTTTGCTGCCTCTTTTCTGTCCATGCCTGGTGGCCTCATCAATCCATCTCTTGGGCAGTCTTCCCATTCCCCACTCCAACTAGGCGGAGGCCCCAGCCCTCACTGATTGTCAGCCTGCCCAGGTGCTGGGGCCACTGTAGGGGCCTGCTTCTCCTTGAAGGATCTGATAGCCTATAGATAGTGAATCTGATCACCTAAGCTAGGAAAGCACAAAGCATTCATGGTTTTTTTTGGCCGTGCCACACAGCTTGTGGGACCTTAGTCTACCTACCACAGATCCAATCCACACCCTTGGCAGTGAAAGTGCAGAGTCCTATTCACTGGACCACTAGGGAATTCCTGAAACATTCCTGAAAATCACAACTCATAGGTGTCAGTAAAACAATGAGCTGCCCGCTAAGCCCAACTTGCTGCTTCTGGGTTTTTTTTCACTAAAGATTGAATTGGGTGAAAGAACAGAGCTGGAGAAATTATGCCCTCTGACTCTGGACTATACTACAAAGCTACAGCAATCAAAACAGTACAGTAGTCACAAAAAAAAAAAACAGTACAGTACTGGACAAAAGCTGAAACAGATCAGTGAAACAAAATAGAGCCAAGAAATAAACCCTTGCACTTACGGCCAGTGTATGACAAAGAAGGCAACAATATACAGCAGAGAAGACAGTGTCTTCAGTAAGTAGTGCTGGGAAAACTGAACAGCTATAAATAAAAGAATAAAATTAAACCATTCCCTAACACCATTCACAAAAATAAACTCGAATTGGACTAGAGACCAGCTATTATAAAACTAGAGGGAAACAGGCAGAATACTTTCTGACACAAATTGCAGCAATATGTTTTTGGATCCACCTTCTAGAGTAATAGAAATAAAAGTATAAATGAACAAATGGGATGTAATTAAACTTAAAAGGTTTTACACAGCAAAGGAAGCCATAAACAACTTGAAAAGACAACCTATGGAATGAGAGAAAATATTTGCAAACCATGTGACTGAAAAGGGATTAATTTCTAAAATATCCAAGCACCAAATATATATATATATGGGAAAAAAAAAAAAAAAAGAAAACAAGCAAAAAACAGGCAGAAGACCTGAATAGACATTTTTCCAAAAGACATACAGTTGACCAACTATGAAAAAATGCCAATATTGCTAGGTATTAGAAAAATGCAGATCAAAACCACAATACTGTATCACCTAACACCAATCAGAATGGCCATCATCAAAAAGTCAACAAGTAATAAATGCTAGAGATGTGTGGAGAAAAAGGAACACTTGTACATTGTTGGTGGGAATGTAAATTGGTGCAGCCACTATGGAGAACAATATGGAAGTTCCTCAAAAAACTAAAAATAGGGTTACCATGTAATCCAGCAATCACACTCCCATATACCTTCTGCCTACTCATGTGCAACTTCCCCTTATCAACATCCCCTGCCACAGTGGTCCATTTGTTACAACTGATGAACCTACACCAATACATCATAGTTTCTCAAAGTCCATCGTTTACATTACGTTTCACTCTTGGTGTTGTACTTTCTATGGGTTTAGACAAATGTATAATAATATGTAGGCACCATTATAGTATCATACAGAGTAGTTTTACTGCCCTAAAAATCATTCATGTTCCAAGATTTTATTCTTGGTAATGGAATTATTTTCTTTATTTCCTCTTTAGATTGTTTTTTTGGTTGATGTGTTTTGACAGCCTTTTTAAAGCTGTAGATTCACTCTTGTTCCCTTTCTTCCATATTCTCTTTTACCATTTATATGGTCATTTGCTCTTTAGAAGCCCTATGTTTACCCCCAAGAAATGTTAAATGCTGGAATGTCCAGGTTGGTTGGCAGTCCAACCGAGGGAAACTTCAGCTGAGAGTAAGAGAAGGGTTATTTTCTACAGCATTCCTCCATGACCTTGTACTCCTACTCCTGAGGCAGCCCACCCCACCCCCACCCCCCCAGTTAGGTCCTGCTCAGTCTTCACCTGGGACACAGTGCTCCTTGTTTTGTAGCTCAGAGTCATCCTCCCAGGTATGGAACAGAATTCACTCCTTTTTTGGGAGGCTCTGTCCTTTCTGGACAGGCTTCAGTTTTAAAACATCTACCACATGACTTCCTTGGCGTCATCATGGTGGTTTCCTTGGCTTTCAAGATTTGAGTTAAGGAGGAAATGTTATTGTAGGACTGGAAATGGTGAATCCCACATCTGGACATCACTTTGCTGGCCTGATCCTGGGGAATTCCAAGGTTTTAGATGGGCCAGTTGGAGTGTTTGTGTGCCTGACTTCAACTACTTGCATTTCCATGGCCCTCTGAGCATGAATACCAGGCTCTGGATGACTGGAGGGAAGTGAGTGACACACCAGTCTTAAGTTTAAGCAGCTTCTTTTAATGCTCTCCATAATGGTGTAATTATGACTTGCTTACAAATCCTGTTGGGATGACTCCTGGGCACAT